CTCGTAAATACGAGGCACATTTCCTTTCCCAAAGTACATAAATTCTAAATATTCCATCAATTTTTTAACATACTCACAATGATCAATCAGACTAACTATGTCAGTGTCAAGGAATTTTGAATTTGTAAGAATAATCGAGCATCATCTCTTAGCCATGTTTGGTTGGTATTATCCTTTGGTGGATATTCAGTAAGGTGATTATCCATAGAAATACTCCGCAAATAAATTCGAACTGTCTTACACCAATCTAAATAATTTGGACCAACCAACTTATGATCCGTGATTTTGGACATTACTGGAATGACATCAGTCACAGCTAAATGTTTTTGCTTATCATCTATGTTAATGAAACACAAGGTCCAGACAACTAATTAAAGACAAAAATAACACAAATAATGATAGCCCAGTCCAACTATTAATCACTTGAAAAGAAAACAATCCAGCTACTTATTCACTGAAATAATGGCCCAAAACAATAGCCCAACAACTAAGCACTTAATCAACTACAAGCCCAACAGCATAATCACTTAAACAATGGCCCAAACCAAAAAAGAAAACCAAACACTATTATTTAAACTTCAATCCAAATAACACACCTCAGCCCAACAAAAACAGGAGAACCAGAGTATCTACGATCTCTCAGGCGACGCCAGCAACACAACCGACAAGATCAACCTATGAGCCGTGACTCAAGACTGCGAGAGGTCCTGAATTTGTCTGCCATGTGGGAGAGGAAGACCGAACAGCCGGCAACTGCGAGTGAAAGACAGACGCCGAAAATGCGAGGTTCAAACAGACCTGAACGCTGAAAACTCGAACACGAAGAGCCAAACCCACTGGTGAGATGGTTTATGGCTCTGATACCATGTAAACTCAAGAAGAAAAAAAAAATTCCTTACATCATTCATAACTAACGATAACTATATATACAAATTAGGGATTCTATATTCGGTAGGATACTACTAATTAGGAATCCCTCTAATTAAGCTTACATATTTACATTCCATAACATGTATTAATCCGTCTAGTACGTTGTAATAAACGTCTAATGCTGCCGCCGTGTGCTAAAAGTTATATCAAAAGACCGTCTCATTCAATGTCTAAATGATGACGGATGACTACACTCCAAAAGACAACTTCTACACAACTCAACTGGTCTAACCATTATGGTCTATAACTTAAGAACATGAGGTCTTAATCTATAATTTTCAATATAAGTTCAAAATTAAGCAAAATGAAGTGATGGGACTCATATATTTTTCCCAGAAGTATATCCTTTTTATAAATTTTGCAGGCTTTAGTGAGGTTGTTGATATCACAACTTGTAGCCACTAATAGTTTGTCAATTTTAGTCCTTTTTTTATCTGAAACGTAGGATGAGCATTTCTGGACCAGAACACACATGATTTTTTTATATTTTTTTATTTTATATTTTTTTTGCAATTGGCTAGAAAAAAATATCGAGCACTGCTGTTAATGAGAATGTTAATCTACACATTAATAAAAAAATAAAGAATAATGCTATTTAGCACTAGTCTATATGGCTACATTTTATAGATTTAATTAAATGAGTCGTGTGACTTTGAATTTAAATGAATCTATCATTTAATGTCATATAATTGCTACGTAGACGAATGCTTAACACTAATGGTGATAAATAGTATTACTAAAAAATGAAGGTGCATCCATGCACTGCAAGCAATTACGTAGGCAGGTGAGGATGGCCCATCAACCTCTAGCAATATTTAGAATGTTTTTTTTTTTTTATAGATAATCGGATAATTTTATTATTTAAAAAAGAATACACGGGGGGTGTACAATCACTTTAAGCCACTAAGGAACAACATGAAATTAGGCAACTCATTTACAGGATTTCTAGCCACAGTATTAAACTAAGAATACAAGGTAAAGTAAAATGTTTCTCTTACCTGCTCTCTTGTCTTTGTTTGGTTTTCGAAGCATCGGTTGTTCCTTTCTCTCCACACGCACCATACAATACATCCCGGAATAAAGTGCCATGCTAGTTTGCTATCCTTATCATGAAATTTTCTCCGCCACGCCCGTATCACGTCCTCTATACGACGAGGCATCACCCAATCCATAGATTGAGAACTAAGTATACTGTTTCAAATCCAACGTACAACATCACAATGAATGAACAAATGATCGATCGTCTCCCTATCCTTCTTGCACATATAACACCACTCGGTTGAGTAGAAGCCTTTACGTTGAAGATTATCCACTGTTGAGACCTATCCCCTCACAACTGTCCACAATAAGAATGCCACCCGAGGAGGCAATTTACACTGCCATACCAACTTCCAGGGGAATGAATTATTCACACATCCCATGAGGAAACCAAAGTACGAGCGAATTGAAAAGATATCATCCCGTGCTGTCCTCCGTGCTGTCCTCCCCACCTGATGCAATCCCTCTCTCCAACCCAAATTTGTGCCTCATGTAAAAAGGTCATAAACAGCGAATAATCTTCCAATTCTCAATCCTGTAGATCCCTCCCAAAAGTAATATTCCAGTTATAGCTCCCATTATGAATGTCTAAGAGATCACTCACCATAGCAGTGGGCACTGAGGCAATGCGATGCAAGGAAGGAAATCTCTCCTTCAGCGGTTGATCTCTGCAGCAACAATCATTCCAAAATCTAATCTCATTACCATTTCAGACCACAAACTTCAATTTGTCCGAAAAAGCACTCCATCCCTGTCGGATATACCTCCACAAACTCACCCCATAAGAGTCCTGATCCTCAAATGTACACCATCCCCCTCCATCACACCATACTTCGCCCCAATAATTTCTCTCCAGAAGTTTTCCCTCTCCACTCCAAATCGTCACAACCAATTGCCTAATAAGGCCTTATTGAACAACACAAGGCTCCTCATCCCAAGACCCCCCATCCTCATCGGCAAACAAACAACTCCCCAATTGACCAAATGGAGTCTCCTCTCCTCCCCCAACCCTGCCCACAGAAATTCTCTTTAAAGTCTCTCTAATCTCTTTGCCACTGCAATCGGAATGGGGAACAATGACAAAAAGTAAGTAGGGAGATTGGAGAGAGTGAATTTAATGAGAGTAAGTCTACCTCCCTTAGAAAGGTACATACGCTTCCACCCTGCTAACCTTCTCTCCATTTTTTCCACAATATCATTCCAAATATGGGTACTTTTAAATCGTGCCCCTAACGGGAGCCCTAGCTATGACATCGGTAGCTGCACAACCTTACAACCCAATATATCAGCCAGCTCCTCCACATTATCGACCTCCCCTACTGGAATAGCCTCAGACTTCCCCAAATTGATTTTCAAACCAGACCTCGCTTCAAAACATAGGAGCAGACGGCGCAAGTTCCTGAATTGTTCAACATCTGCATCGCATAAGATCAACGTGTCATCTGCAAATAACAGATGAGACACCTGCAATTGGTCAACCATAAAACCCCTTATCAAACTCGCTCTCAAGGCTCTTTCAATCATCCTACTGAAAGCCTCCATCACAATGACAAATAACAATGGGGACAATGGATCCCCTTGTCTCAAGCCTCTACTGCTCCGGAAATAGCCCTTAGGTGTTCCATTGACCAAAACTGAGAATGAAACGGTAGAAATACAGAATTGAATCCATTTACACCATTTATCCCCAAAGCCACAGCGCCTGAGCATATACAACAGGAATCCCCAATCTACATGATCATAAGCCTTCTAAATATCTAGCTTACAAAGCATCCCTGGGGCCCTTAGACGCATTCTTGAATCTATGCATTCATTCGCCGTAAGCACAGAGTCCAAAATTTGACGCTCTTTTACAAATGCATTCTGAAACTTGGACAATACTTTTCCCAGCACCTCCTTTAATCTGTTTGCCAGGACTTTAGAAATAATCTTGTACACCCCGCTAACAAGGCTAATGGGGCGAAAGTCCTTAATATCAGTCGCTCCCGATTTCTTAGGGATGAGCACAATAAATGTAGCGTTAGAACTTCTCTGAAATCTGCCACGTTCAAAAAAATAAGATAAAGTATTCACAATGTCCAGTTGGCTTCCAATTTCCTGTGGTTCCTCATAAGTAACCCCGTCCACCTCCAAAACTGTGATGGAGTTGTTCTTCCTATTAGAATTGGCGACGCTGTGGAAGAACTTCGTGCATTTATCCCCCTCTTTCAACCAAGTAACTCTAGATTTCTGTCGCCAAGTAATCTCCTCCATCTCCACCAACCTCTCCATCTCTTCCTTCTATCCAACTCCTCTATCTCTGACAGACACTGATTTTTACTACAGTTAACATTGCCCACAACTTCCTCATTCCATTTCTTTAAGTCCCCTTTCAACGCCTTTAGCTTCTGATCCAATACAAAACAGGGAGACCCACTGACTTCATAGGAAGTCCACCACGTCTGTACTCGCTCCCTAAAACCTTCTACTTTCAACCACATCTTCTCAAACCTGAAAGGTCTTCTTCCACCACCCCTCCTATTCCCCGATAACATAATAGGAAAATGATCCGAGTACACCATCCCAATCTTCTCTGAGTGACATCTGAATATTTGGGCTCCACTCCTCACAAATCAAGAATCTATCAATACGAGACAAAACAGGTCGATCCCGATTAGATGACCAAGTAAAATCTCCACCAATTATGGGTAAATCCACCAACAAATTCTCCCTAATAAAATTTGAGAACTCCTCCATTGCCCTAGTTAGTCTCCCACCACTCGATCTCTCCAAAGGAAATTGAATCACATTGAAATCACCCCCAATACATGTAGGGAGATTCCACCAAGCCCACATTCCAGCCAGTTCATCTCACAAGCCCACTCTACTGTCATCAGAATTAGGCCCATAAACTCTCGTGAACATCCATAGAAATCCATCCTCGCAATTTTTGAAAGAAATCGATATAGAGAACACCCCTATACTCACCTCCTTCATCTCAAGCACTCTAGTGTCTCACATCACCAATACGCCTCCTGAAACCCCTGATGACCCTAAAAACTGATATCCTACATGATTTCCCCCCATAAACTACGAATCACTGCCCTCGAGATAAACTCCATCTTAGCTTCTTGTAGGCAAACAAGATTTGACCCCCATCCCCTTAGCAAATGTAGAACACCAAGCCTTCTATTAACCTCATTGAGCCCCCTTACATTCCAGCTAATGAGTTTTGGCATCATTATAACACTCCGTAACCCCTCCCCATTGTTCCTTTTTTTGACTCGCCACCCTTACCAGCATAGTTTACTGACGATTCGAGTCTCTTAAGTTCGCGATCACCCTTTCTTCTTAATTTACTTCCATGTGTACCGATGTCTTGTCCCCTATTAGCCTCTAGCTCCTCAAATAATTGTATCAATTTACTTTCATACCCATCACATGACACGCCAATTAACTTACTGAATTCCTGAATTTTCTGTAGAACCCAATTCGAAGGTGGATGACCAACTTCCAACACATCTGCTTCTGAAGTATCCTCACCGTGATAGCCCTCGAGATGATCAAAGGACCGTTCTTTCTCTTCCACCACTGGTATAATGTCACTGTCGCTTTCTCCTTTCTAGGCACCATCTACCCACAACACCAAAGCTTTTTCGGTCCCCATATCATTTTCTTTTGTCCTCCTATTATAAATGTTCATAATCCTTGATGTCGAATGTGTAGCGTTGTTTTCTTTCACAGTGTCCATTGTCAATGTCTCCAAGTTCACCATACTAAACTCCCCTTCATTAGACAACGGTTCCACCTCTCGTTCAACCGCAATCCCCGTGTCTACTTCATTCCGATTGACCCCCACAAAGTCAACCCCATCATCGTTTTTATGGTACCCCGCTTCCATCCTCTCCTGAGAATCACAATGTTCCTCTTCCCTGCTATTCATGTTCTGTAATTGATGGTAGTTCCTCATCAGTCAATCCCGGTACGTGAATTTCACCAGTTTCATGGGGTCCATTTCAGGCCCGCTTCCAACCAGCCTAAGTAATTCATCCAATGCTCCTTTCAACTCCTGGGCACGGGCCATTATTTCAGCCCTACTCAAACAAATGTCGTGACCTTCATTATCACCGACTTTATTTGTCCTTTCCTTTTGCTGTAGCATCCGTTGGTTGGCATGCTCCGAGGTCTGTGAGTTCGCTGTAATTTCTGCATAAGTCATCCTTTGGCTGTTTTGTTCATTCACTGTTTATCGTTTGGCCTTATCCCTAGCAACAAATGAGTCAAGAACTGCTTGAAACACCTGCGAGACCGACATTCATCCCTCTCCATTTGCACCTTCTGGTATCATGACAACTCCTTTCCGACACCTCTCCCCATATTGTGCTATCATCAAATATCTATCTCGACGGTTCACACACCGTTGTGCCAAGAAAGCTCTTGAAGACTCGTTGAATTTTAAAACACAGTCCTCAAATTCACTTCTCATCCTCAATCTGTCTACCATATTCACCATCCAAATAGCACCATACCTTCCCAAAAAGATTGAATCCGATAACTTCGAACCCCATTCTGTTAACTTAACAGTGCCAGAATCGTTAATAGATATTGCGAAGTCCTTCACCTCCACTTTGAAACGATGATTGAATACCATACTACGCACATCCGCCAATTTTTTTCCCCTGATTGTGTACAAGCTGTTCATCAAACGGAAGAACGGACAAGCCGATTGATCTCGGAGCAACAGGCTGCCACTGCAGGTTTTCCTGTGGCCTACGCGCCAGCAGACGCGCAGCCGGAGCGGCACGTGTGGGGGGCATAACTCCGATCGGGGTCACCGATCTTTGGTGAGGCGCGTTTCCTCGAAACGTGGCCGGATCTAGCGGAATCTGCTGGGCAGTGCTAGGGTTTCCAACAATGGGCTGCGCCTGTGTGTGAAGGACGTGGTTGGAGGGGTTGATTTGTGGCGTGAAGCCAGTTATGTGGTACCTACCGGACAGTTGGTCGCCGGCGCCGGTAGGTATGGGTGTTGGTGTGGTGGCTGGGTTAGTTTGGATTGTGGGGGGAGCTCCATCCGGTGTCAAGGGCTAAGTCTCGGTTAACATTATTTAGAATGTTAATCAATGCAAATTATTATTTATTTATTTTTTTAGTTGCAGAAGAAATTATTCAACTTTTAACATGGAAGTGACAAAACCATTGAATTTTTTGTTCAAATCAATTTACAACAACACCAGAGATCCAAATAAGAAGTTAACGTGTAATTGTGGGCGTGATCAGCTGCCATACCTGAATTACAGCAGTGAAAACTGCAAACAAAATATATAAGTCGATGATCTGCAAAAAAAATATAATAAACAAAAGAAGAAAGTAGTCAGCTGGGTTTCTCTACATGTATGTGAAAATATTAAACAATAATAATAATAATAATAATAATAATAATTCAGGTTGAGAAAGAGAGAGACCTTGAGATTAGTGGGGGTTGCAGCATATGCAGAGTGAAGAGAATGAAAAAGTGCTTGGGCATCTTTTGATGGCGTTGATCTCCCCATTTTTTTTCACTTCTTTGTGAGCGTGCGGGTGATAGTACAGTGAACTGGAGAAAAAATTTAGATTTAAGAATCAACTGATTAGCTGGATAATGCCCCATCAAATAAGCATCGTCAGGCTACAGACCAAAATGTGTTCTCAACATTTGGGCTTGTAATTTGCCACTTGAAACAATTCAAATGTTCTTGCATGAAAAACCACTTTTGAAGCACAAATTAACAAGCGTGTCTGTATTATGTACCAGAGAACTGTGTAAATCAGTTTATGAACCCAGATCAAGAAGGATTTCTTTGTTATGTCAAATAAACCAATTATATCAACATTCATTCTTTGAAGGAATGGATGAAGCAAATACATAACGGAACACAGAATTCATCTATCTATTTTATCTATAACTCCCAAAGAATTTTAGAATGCAGCCACTTGATATCATTATCAAGTGATCGACAATCATACAATAGATTTTTATGACTAATGATGTGAAATGCACTACTTTCACTTTACATTTCAGAAACTCAGAAATCGGAAAATTAATTATCTTCTCCACAAATTTCACACATGATTAAACTGATCTTCCCTACATATTATAAATTTTACAACACTAAGGAAATCTACAGCTTACAATAGGAGAATTTAAAAAACAAATCATCAAACAGCTTGTTTATCTATTTTATCTATAATCACGGTCAAAAAACAGGTAATTCCGACAGCTCCTGAAAAAAATTAAACATCAGAAACATCAGGTACTGTTAATCAATCCTACGTTAAATTTTTATGATTTTAATGGGGGTAAAATGCACTACTAAGTACTATCACAGTATCACATTTCAGAAATTCAGAAATCGGAATATCTTCTCCACAAATTTAACTCATTTACGAGCTGATCTTCCATACATATCTGAAATTTTACAACAATAAGGAAACCTACACCTTAAAATACGAGAATTAGAAATCAAAAAAAGAAAATATATTCGCGTCAAGATTATTCCATTTTGACAAGTAATGCTAACAAAAATAATTAATTAGAAAAATAAAAGAAAAGTGATTTACCGGGGTTGCGATCGTGGATTGGTCGCCCGATCTGCCACTGAAAGTATAAGCAATTTTTGCTGGAGAAGATAGTCGCAGGTTGCAGTCTACTCCTCACCCTCGGAAGTATTCTTCACTTTGCTAGTGGGTTTATAGTGTTGGGCCAACTCTAAGCAACCACGAATTAGGGCCCATATTCATAATTTTTCTTAAGTAATTAACACAAAACAAAACGTCGTTATATTTCATTTTTTTGATATTTTCACCTCTATTTTCACCTTTTACTAGGAAAAATATCATTTTCATCCAATTTCTCAGTAAAAAAGTTTAAAAATGACAAATATATCATCCTATTTAAATTTTAAAAAATAAGTAAATAACAAATCGTAACTATATTTTCTTTTTTTTTTAAATTACAAATTAGTCCAAATAAATTATTAAAGGGGTAATTAGAACAAAACGTATTTACCTTTCAATATTATCGTGCAAAACATCCATATATTTTATTTTTTGACATTTTTATTCTTATTTTCACATTCATTGTGAAAATTATAATTTTCATCTATTTTTCTCAATTAAAAACTATAAAATGACGAATATACTCTCATATATTAAATAAAATAAAGAATAAAGAATAAATTACAACTATACTTCCAATTTTTTTTTAAAAAAATACGAATAAATTCTAAATAATTAATTAATTCTTTTTTAATTATTTATTTGGAATTTATTTGTACTTTTTTGAAAAATTTAGAAGTATAGTTACAATTTGTTCTCTTTTTTTCCTTTTGTTTTATTTAAATAGAAGGGTATATTCATCATTTTACAACTTTTAATTGAAAAAATTAGTGAAAATGATGATTTTTGCAATGAAATGTGAAAGTAAGTGTGAAAATGTTAAAAATGAATGTATAAATATTTTGTACAATAATATTGAAAGGGATAGATGTTTTGTGCTAATTACTATTTTAATAATTTATTTGGAATCATTTGCAGTTTTTAAAAAAGTTTGAGAATATAATTGTAATTTGTTCTTTTATTTTTATTTAAATGGAATGGTATATTTGTCACTTTACATTTTTTTTTAATTGAGAAATTGGATGAAAATTATCTTTTCCACATTGAAATGTGAAAATAGAGATGAAAATGTCAAAAAGAATTAAGTTGGGGATATTTTACACAATAATATTGAAAATGTAAAGAGGTTTTGTATTAATTACCCTTTCCTAAAAATTGAAATTTACAGTTTATGAATTTACGGTGCACTTTTCTATACACATTTTAAGGTATTTATAAATATTATTCATTATTTATTTTTATCTATTTATATTTAAATCATTTATAAAACCTTCCTAAAATGTTAGAGTTTGGATCATATTTTCCCCTATGGGAGTTTTAAATAAAATGTGTGACGGTAGTTTATCACTGAAGCGATGTAATATTTTGGGCGAGTGTAGAAGAAATTATTTCAGTTGCACCTTTAGAGTGTGCGCTACTTTTAGGTGCCTGTCTGGAAGCAATTTTGGTCCAAATTTTAATCCAAAATATTGTCGTTGTGGGACCCTCATTTGCAGACAGCACTGATTGCACAGGTGCATAATTACCGGAATGCCATTATGTACATTAGAATGAATTTTAAGTGGGGGTCAAATTGGTAATCTTCCGCATTTTAGTCAAAAAGGTTTCTGCCTCCCTGACACACCAACGATCATTTTTTTGCTAAAAATTCATCCAAAATCACTCCCAGACACGCACTAGGTTTGTAAATGTTTCCGTTTTTCGAATTATTTGATAAATATATCTTTTTCTTCAAATTTGTTGGGAAATTTCGATTGATTTAAGTATTTTCGTCATTCTAGATAGTGTAATGCTAAAGAGATAAGGATTGGGGCCAAGGATTTGATCCAAGGCTAGCGTGACCCGGCCCTTGATCTAAATTTTTTAGTGTAATGCTAAAGATATAGGGATTGGGGCCACGGTCAAGGTGGCTCAACCTTGGCCCTGGATCAAATCCCTAACCCCTTCCTTGTATTTGTAGCGGAGCTCTTCTAGATAAATTAGACTTCCAGTCTACTATCCCCTACTCCATTCTCGTTGGCTGTATTCCCAATTAAATCAGGACAAATTAGCCCACTACCTCATCATTGTTATTTTATCCATATTAATAAATCTTAAATGATATTAGTAACTTTAGTGACAAAGAGGGACGAATAAATTGAATCATAGAGTTGGAGATGGCATATCCAAATGCTGAATAATCAATTATTTTGTGAGGATCCAAATAGGGGGTTAAATAAGTATGGAGTTTCTTATGAAGCTCTCTCCTTGCTATTTCAAATCATGCTGGGGGTAAGGTGAGATTTGAGAGCGGGAGTGGATATGTTAGAAGTTGCTTGATGGAGTTAACACTACATGTTTATTTGTTGAATTTGATGTATCATTAAGGTGCTTTAGGGTGAATAAAATCGAGCAATACATGGAGAGCCACCTCATACGACCCCAGCCTTGGTGGAATTCTTTGATGGGATTCGTGCTTCAGATGACGCCGAAGCAATCACACTTCGAGTAAGGCTCCTACTTGCGAAAGAGAATGGTTTCAAGCAGGAGTTAGGGAACAAGACTTTCTTTGTTCCTAGCATATGTTAATTCTCACAATACAAATAAAGACTTGCCAACCTTTTTGTTGGAGCGACCTGGTATAACAAGAAAAACTTTGGGATGAATTTTTAAAATTTGAAGTTTAAATGGAGGAAGAAGGATTAGCTAAGATTATTGTATATTAAAATGATTCTCCAATGCTTATTTATAGTTTTTAATAACACCATATCATGAAAACAATTGGGAGAAGAGGTGAAAATTTATAACAAGACAAAAAAAGTTTTCAATTAAAAGCAAGTAGAAATTACATAAACTAATACATTGAGATTCCATTTCATAAATCATACACTAGATTTACTCTTTTAAAAATCAGAAGATATTTTTTTATTAATTAATATATTTAAAAATAAATTAATTAATTAATTTACCTACACAATTTCAAACCTAAATTATTTCTCCCGCGCTTCCCTCTCTCTCTCTCTCTCTCTGATGGAAACGACCAGCTGGAGTATCTCTACGTGAGGTGGCTCTATTTGTCGGCAATGTAGTGCCACCACCACAATAATTGTAGACAGATCTGTGGAGGAGTAGAGTTTGATGAGGTAAAAAATATTGGTGGCAGAATGGACGTTTGCGCAGCAACGATAACATAGCGACAGCATCATCGCTGATGCACAATCTGATTTTGAATTTGGTCTGTGCAGTAATTTTAGTGACGGTGGAAACGATGGCAACGGTAGCTACAATGACGGTGATGTTGCTGTGGAGGTGGAGGTGGAGGTGGAGGTGGAGGTGAGAATGACTCCGGCTATTGCGTTGGGTTTTTTATGGGGGATTTTTTTATGATATTTGGGTGGTGATGGTTGTGATGTTGGCTTTGGTGATGAGGTGGTGGTGATATTGGCAGTAGTGGTGCTATGGTGCAGTGGTGGAGGTATGCGGTGACGATGGTGGGAACGAAGGTAATGTTGTGTGTTAGCCCATTTACCTTGTTATTAAGTTGGCCATTTAAATGTGTCTAGGGCCAATTAGCATTAACCTAAATTGATGAATGTATGCAACCATTCCTAGCCGTGTGTGTGTATTTGGCAAGAGGGTAAACAAAAGTGAGAGGAGGGCAACCATGTGGGGAGTGTTGTGTGAGATTCAACCTTTGTTCTTTTCTCCTTCCTCTTCCTTGTAGCTTGCAAATAATATCACCATCAAAGTCTCGTTTGTGGGGTTGAAGACTCATGACAACCAAAGTAAAGGTAAAGTTTTGGATAGAGCTTTAGTGGTTTTGGTGTTCTTTTTTGGTTATATTCTAAGCCTAGAATCAAGATTTTTCGCAGCTTCTGTACAATAAATGATATTAGAACCTTGGTGTTGAGAAGTCTATGATTTTTTGTTGGGCAAAAATCGTTGGAAATTAGCAAAAATCGAACACGAAGCGAGACTGAAAATTGGACAGTTTGAAATTCAACCTGCCGAAATTATTTTGGTGTTTTTTTGTCAAACCACAGACTTCGTGGAGAAACCAAGACCAACGGTGAATTCAGTAGGCTGGGAGTGGTGCACGTGGTGGGTGGCGATAGCACGTGGAGACTCCGACAAGGTGTGTGGAGCATTTTTCTGCTACGGTCTTTAGGCAAAATGTTGTTGGTGGCGTAGTAAACCTTGGGGTGGTGTTCATTTTCAGTTTCGATTGATATGGTGAAATTTGGACAATTTTACCCCTAGACAATCAATTTTGAGTGTCGATTGATTTGGTGGCAAGGGCACGTGGAGACTCCGACAAGGTATGTGGAGCATTTTTTCTGCTATGGTCTTTAAGCAAAATGTTGTTGGTGGCGTGGTAAACCTTGGGGTGGTGTTCATTTTCAGTTTCGATTGATATGGTGAAATTTGGACAATTTTACCCCTGGACATTCAATTTTGAGTGTCGTTTTGAGTTGTCGGATAACAAGAAGCTTTAGGGCGAATGATGGCGACCCTAAATTAATAAATTCGCATCTCTCCTAGTTTACAAACCCACAGATATGGTTCACTTAGTATAGTGCTATTTTCTTATATTATTGCAAATAAGATTATTGTGTAGGATAATTATTTACTTTTCGCATTAAAAGTCATCGTATGAGATGACATTAGGATTGTGGTTACCATGAAAAGGTAAACATTGCCTATTGTTTGAGCATTTTTTGGTAAAATAACAACATATTTTGAGTTGTGTTTTTTTAATGAAAAAATGTGATTTTTTAAGTTAGTAAAACGAAAAGTGATGACAAATGTAGGTTAAAGGCAAATGCAAAGAGTAAGAGGTGTTTTTAACTAAATTATCTTGAAAATGTTGAAAGAGATTGTCGCTGTATGGATAATAGAAGGAAAGATGAGGAGGGGAGTGAGGTTTACTCTTAATAAACCTAGTTATTGCATGTGTTTCTGTGTGTAATCCGTTCTGCATGAATGATTCCTTAATTTTTGTTGCATTGATATGTTGCACTTTCAATTTATTTGTGTGTATAATTACATGAATTGATGTAACTTGATTATTTTGTGTAAAGTATTTGCATGCATAAGAGATTGA